TCGCAGTCGCAGTCGCAGTCGCAGTCGCAGCCGCAGCCGCAGTCGAAGCCAGGATAGCTACCGCAGTCGCAAGAGCCACCAGTCCAGGAGGAGCGCTCTTGCTGACGAGGCAGCCGAGCAGAGGCGCAAGAGACGTCGTGGCGACGATCTCGGCCATCGCAGCGACCGGAGTCGCCTAGATGAAGACGAAGAAGAACGCGCCCGCGAGCGTCGACGTCTTCGAAGCGAGCGTCGTGACGATGACCGCGATGGACACTCTTCCGCAGGCGATCGGCATCGAGCCAGTCCTGCTCCTTCGTCCAGCCGAGGCGACCGGGATCGCTACGACTCCTACTACGAAGACCGCCGTTATGACCGCAGAGGCGATCGTGGCCCTCACAACCGAGGCGGCCGCTACGAGGATGACTCGCGCCGTTCGTCGAGACGCCGAGGACGCTACGACAGTCCCGCTGCCTCGGCTCGCTCTCGACGCACCCCCAGTCCAGAGATCAACGACTACGAGGACCGATCCGTCTTCTGCAGCCAGCTATCGGCCCGACTTGGCCAGCGTGATCTCGGCGAGTTCTTCGAGGAGCATCTTGGCGAGGGGGCGGTTCAGGATGTGCGCATCGTAATGGACCGCGTCACCCGCCGAAGCAAGGGTGTCGGCTACGTCGAGTTTGCTGCACGAGAACTGGTGCCCAAGGCGATCGAGCTCACGGGCAAAGTGCTCTTCGGCATCCCCATCGTGGTCCAGCGCACCGATGCTGCGCGCAATGGCCCGCCTCCCATCTCGGCAGTCGGCCCGCACGGCGTCGCCTCACACCCCGCGCTCGGAGGACCGCACCTGGACGCTAGGGCGCTCGCCAACGTTCCCATGCCCATGCAATACCACCAAGCCGGCGCGCCGATCCATCTCAACGTCAACGCCCCTCCGGGTCCGCGCGCCATGAGGCCCGGACCCAACATGCCCAACACCGAAGCGCGACTCTACGTCGGCAGCTTGCATTTCAGTCTCACGGACGAGAATGTCAAGGCAGTGTTTGAGCCGTTCGGCGAGATCGAGTACGTCGACCTCCACCGCGAACCAGGAACGGGTAAGAGCAAGGGATTCTGCTTCATTCAATTCAAGCACGCCGACGACGCCAGGAAGGCACACGAGGCCATGAACGGGTTCGAGCTCGCCGGCCGAGCCATCCGAGTCGGCAACGTCAACGCCAAGGGCTCGGGCAGCTCGTACATGGGCGGTCCTGGCCCGAACTCGCAAAGCGGAGGCCACCTGCCGCAGCTCACCTCTGCGTTTGACGACGGCGGAGGCGCCGGTCTCAACCCCGAACGTCGTGCGGCGCTGATGCAGAAACTTGCTCGCAACAATGAGCCATCCCCGGCCGCCTCGGACGCGAACACGGCAACGCAGGAGCGCCCGGCAGGCATTCCCGAGGCTACTTCGACCTCGCTACTCCTCAAGAACATGTTTGATCCGGCAGAGTACGTATGCTCCGTGGCGATGGGCTCGGTCTCGAACTCAGACAGGCTGACACCTTTCATTGCTTCTCGTTTTGATTCTTCTACTGACCTTACAGAGAAACGGAAGCCGACTGGGACAAAGACCTCGCCGAAGACGTCAAGGACGAATGTCAGGCCAAGTATGGACCTGTGACGCGCATCCACGTGGAGAAGGAGTCTGCGGGCGAGATCTACCTCACCTTTGCTGACCTTGACGCCTCTCGCAAGGCCCTCGATGGGCTCAACGGAAGATTCTTCGGAGGCAAGCCGATCAGCGCGCAATAGTAAGTCGGAACTCACGCACGCTTCCCCCACCCCCCTCTTTGCATATGTAGTGCCAGAGCTGACCATCGTCTTGTTGTGACACCAGCATTCCGGACGCTTTTGTGCAGGCTAAGCTCGGTTAAGCGTTCTCTGTGTCCACTACGACTTGGCTGGGCTCTTACGGCTCGATCTGCTCACGGCTTTGTTACGAGAACCACAGAATCCAACGACAAGAAGACCGCAACAAAGACGTAATTTGAAGCAGTGTTGCTGATCGCAAGTTGGATCGGCGACTCGAAGCAACTGCTGTAGCGTGGCCTTGGATTGGCGCGCAAGATCTGGCTCGCATGCATCAGACGTGGCTCGCTCATTCTCGCTTTCTCCCTCTTGCCTCGATGCCTTTTGCTTGCCCCAACGGGCGCAACGCCTCTTGAGACAGACAGGACCTGCGCATCTAGTCAGTGCCGGATCGGCCGACGACTTTAAGCTCGTCGCTTGCCCCCACGCTTTGTTCGGGTATGTCTGCTGCAAGGCCGCTCGTCACGCAGTGTTTGCGCATCGACGTCTGCTCTTCAGGCGCCCTTGCTTTGAGCCTTCAGCACACCAACCTTAATTTCTTTCCCCCTCTGACCGTTCTTTCCCACGCATCCGCTCCTTTTCCCCCCTCCTCTCCTGCCCTCTTTGTCTCGCGCAGAGTCCGGCATCTCCGAAGCTAGATGATCCTACGCCCCACGCCAAGCTTGGCTGGCACGGTGGACCGTGGGGGACCAGGCTTTGCTTCTTCCCGTCGATGTAAGTGCTGCTGCCCTGTTCCGTGGTTCATGCTTTCCAGATTCGCAATGTACACATCATTGCCCTGTTCGATCTTGCCTACGCCGTGCTCGAGAGTCTAGGTCGTGTGTTGGTGCTCAGACGTGATGGGAATGCAGAGTGGGATTTCACATCTCCTCGTCATCGTCCAGATCCAGGTCAAAGTCATCGGCAGGGAAGTCGCCCACCTGAACCTTGTCGGGACGCACAAAGCTGCCGAAGTTGGGTTTGCATGTGAAGTAGCGTTCACCCGCCACGCTGCCGAAATCCAAGTGAAGGAAGTAGGAGAGAGTCAATTTTTGGGGGTTCAGAGCTGCGAAGGAAGTGGAGAGGGAGACAACTTACGACCCGTCGTTCTTGCCAACCGGCTCGTCGTATTCGACACCGACCCAGGCGCCTGTGGCGAACTTGGTGGTGCCAACGAACCGTACGGTGCCCTTGCGCTGGTTGGCGCCCGTTGTGCCTGTACCGGACAGGAGGTCGACTTGGCACCTTGCGCCAACGGCCAGTTCGGTGGGGAGATCCTCAGTGTCGCCGGAGGAGGAGCTTGCGTCCTTGGAAGGGTCGAAGCGACCGAGCTTGTTGCGCTGCTTGAAGGCAAGCACGGTATCACGGCGTGCAGCATAGGTGTCGTCGTCCATGACGTACTTGTCCACGAGACTCTCGTCGGTGAATGTCTGGATGAGCTCCTTGGGGCGCGTGTCGAGCACCTTGATCGCCATTCCATCGACGACACCAAGCTCCTCGAGACTGCGCGACTCGACGTCCGAGTTCGGTGGAACAGCAGCGACGAGTGTTGACCGAACCGAGGCTGCGAATGGTCCGGGACCGGCGAGTTGCTGCTGCTGCTCATGGTCGGTGCGCGACGAATGGATCTCGAGAACTTGGTGAGAGGGCGGCACGCCCACGATCGACTCGAGGCGGTACTTGAGGTCGTGCAGCGGGATCGTCGACGGCACGCGACGCTCCGCCGACACCAGCGTCGACGGCGCGTGGATGAACACGTTGACGACAGACATGCTCGATGGGCGCGGCGCGAGTCGTGCTGGTGTTCGGAAAAGATGGTGTCAGTGCGGCCTCAAAAGTGTTGCTGTTGAAATTCCGACCCTGGAAGATCCCGCCGCCACAAGCGTGGGGGATCTCTGCACCTCCACCGCCAGACAAGAGTAGCCGCGCCGATTTGATGGAGCTCACTTCGTCCGTAGCCACCACCACCGACTTTTTCTTTCCATCGGCCGCTACAGCTCACGACCGAACCGGCCATGTCGAAGCTCACCGACGAGTATCAAGTGAGCCTGTGCACATCAGCCGCTCAGCTTCGAGGCGCATGCGATGTGCGGATCGAAGTGTTCGTCCAAGAACAAGGCTTTGCGCTTGCCGACGAGATCGACGAGTACGACCCGCTCGCAGCGCACTTTGCGCTCACGCACTCGTCGCAGCCCGAGCGCGTGCTGGGCACGATTCGACTGCTGCCCTACCCTCTACCGATCCCCAAGCCCGACGGACCGGGGACGGAGCCGGACGCTGCCTCATCGTACCCGCTCGGTGGCAGTCGAAGCGCATCGGCGATAGCGGGCGACTTTATCAGTGCCGCATGGACACGATCCCATCCTGTCTCAAGCCGCCGAGATCCCGCCGACACCCATGCCGAGGAGGAGCAGACGGAAGCCAAGGTTCCCGAGCTGGGTGGGGCGAAGCTCGGACGGCTTGCACTGCTCAAGGAGGTCCGGGGTAAGGGACTCGGCCACCGCCTCGTCCGTGAAGCCGAAGCGTGGCTCGTCAAGGCACTCGAGTCTGACGAAGCACAACGTCAGGGCGCTTTCGGTCCAATGCCCAGCAAGCAAGGCGCCGACGCCCAGGCTGTTGCCAAGAACGACCAGAAGCTCGACAGCATCATCATCAAGCTCAGCAGCCAGATCTACGTGATCGACTTCTACAAGAAGCTGGGCTACGTGCCCGTCGGCGAGCGCTACGACGAAGACGGCGCACCGCATCAGCTGTGCTGCAAGCAGATCGCCCTCGCAAGGAGCGGATAACTTGAAGCCCTGTCCGCGCCATGCACATGCATGCTCACGAGCCACCCCTTTCGCCTGGCTGGTGGAGGCCGCGGAAGCGGCAGACTTCTTTTCACAGCCGCCGATGATGATGCGATGTAACAATCATCGATTTTTTAGCACGGGTCTGCTGAGCAACGAGTGTTGTTCTTTCGCAGAACCCCCGGCCACCGCGTCCTGAAGGCCTGGACGCGTCAAGCCTCGCTCGCAGCCCTTCGACAGCAGATGGCCCCGTGGTCCCAGGTCACAAGTCAGAGTCGAGATTCTCACTAGCTAGCTTCCGCAGGGTGTGGATGTGTATCAGAGCCATTGCGAACACTACGACCATCTGAGTGTGACTTGTGAACAGGATGAGGTTGCGGCATGTGCAAGGTGGAAGGCGGTAGTCGCGTGTGATGTATCCGAAAGGGTCCCGTCGATTGTCACAGCGGGCGCCAGCAATTTAGGATCGCGCGTCGATGCAGCTGCAGCGCTTTTCATGATCATCCAATCTTTTGCTTCTCGATTGCCGTCATCAACACCTTCGACACCGTCTGCACGCCGTCTCTGCCTCCATCCTTTTCCCCTTCCATTCACCACCCCTATTCCCTCTCTTCAACCTTGGATTCGGAAGCGTTGGACAGTCCGACTCACCGCGCATTCATATCGACACTGGCCATGACCACATAGGCACGACATCGTCTCGACTCAGCAGAGCTTACTTCCGCCGACTTACTTGGGCACGGCCGCAGGTGGAGCCATGTCGGAGCTATTCGACTCGCTCAATCTGAGCAACTCGGGTCCGTCGTCGTCGCAGCTATCGTCGTCGCAGCCCTCGACATCCAAGGTGTTCTGGCACGCCTCTCCCTCGCCCGGTGTGCTGCGCCAACTGAACAACTGGACACCCAGCAGAAGCCAGGATTCCCCAACACTACCACTATGCACACAGGCGTTTGTCGGCGAGCTCAAAAAGCTGCCGGGCGCGCTCGAGGCGCAGTCGCCGCTCGTCTCGAGAGATGCAGCCAAGCGCAAGCTCGGCGGCAGCTCACGTAAACAGGGCCGCAACGTATCAGACCCCACCACGATCAAGGAGAAGACGCGCGGATATGCGGTGCTGGAGATCTCGGATGATGACGAGGACGATGCAGTGGGCGGCGCCGATAAGCCTGCGCGGTTACTGCTCGGCGATGTGGGCGAGTCGTCGCCCGAGTCGAGGCGCAGACGAACCATGGACGCCGGCAATACTGGCAGAGTGCGACAGCCGTCGTCGCCGTCTGACCTCAGCTGCTCTTCCAAATCGACAATGCAACCGATGCCAGCAGTACAGCCGAGCTCGCAGCCGATAGGATCGCATCGACGACTTGACCGCAGACATCCCCGGCGGCGCAAGAGAGAATCGCTCATGGCCGGGCTCGGATTTTCAGACGAATCGGGCACCGACTGTCTGAAGCTCTTTGAGGATCTTCAAGCCGCCATACGAGGTATCCAAGCACCTCGCACAGCATCCGATGGCCATGCACATCTCGCGCTGAACTCAGCCGGGCAGAGCAACTCGGGAGGATCAGGCGCTGACCAGCCAGAAAGCGTGCGCCTGACACCAAGGGAAGGACTCAATCGCACCACGTCCGCGCCGACCTCTGCGCGACCGAGCCTGAGCTCGGGCCCACACTCTGCACCACACGAAGACCAAGGGGAGGGATCTCAGTCACGTCGAGTCTTTCGTCCGGTCAAGTCGGATCACGACGTCTTCAATGCAGTACGCCAGGAGGACGAGCGGCAGGCGCGCATCCTCCAGCCCCGAGCCGTCAACGTTGCAGCACAGCCGGAGCCGCAGTCCAAACCTGCACATTCCGCTCTTCGGTCACCATCGCCATCGGAACCGGTTCGACGACAATCGCAGTTGCATCCCAGTGCTCAAAATGTCGGCACTGAAACCCGGCTTGAAACGGCTCTTCCTTTGCGAGCGCCTCCGCCGCCAGTCGAAGCTTCCGCAGCAACCAGACACGATCAAAGCACTGCTGTCACGATGCGGAAAGCGCACGAGGGCGCTGACGAGACCGCAGCGCGCGCGGCCGCCTCGCCGGTCAAGCGGTCGGCGCGGATCGAGGCGATGCAACAGACGAGCACGGGCAAAAAGCTGGGCGTGCGCGCACCCTCGGCGTTTACCAAGGCCGCATCAGCCTCGCCGCGCAAGGCGGCTGACGGGACGGTTGTGCCGGTAGCATCGCGCAAGGTGAGTGCGCCCGTTGCACGCGCGCGACCCCACGCGCTGCCCGGAATGTCGCAGGCGCGCCAGCCGGGCCTGCCACGCAGCGCATCGCAGTACGTCGCTTCGGCGTCGCAAGCTGGTGCCACTGCCGCCACTGCGGCGAGCGGGCCCGCAGCACCGTTCCGGCCTCCGGCGATTTCGCGCGTTACACCCACCCGCCAACCGCCCAAACCAGCCCAACTGTCCAGCCGACGCAGCGCACAGCAGGGACGAGTCGAACACGCGGCCTCGTCGGACGACAGCTTTGCCGACGACGACGATGCCTTTCTCGCCCTCGCCTGCGAGCTCGAGTACTGAAGTCCGCCCCTCGCTCCACACCTGTTACTATTGGAGTGATCTTACGAATTCGAACCGCGCTTCTTACGAGGAACCAGAACAGGTTCGGGTCGGACACTGTATGAAAGCCAGATGACGAGGTTGAAACAAGTGCAAAGTGAGTGTGAGAGGATGGCGGTGGGGGATTAGGAAAGGTCGGGTTCGTCCTGAATGCCCTTGCGTACGGCGCGCAGGAGGGAGGCTTGCCAGCCCTGGATCTTCTTGGTGCGGTCGTACTCCTGGACGCGGCCGTCGAAGGCCTGCAGGTCTCCCTCCTCGCATGCCTGGACGAGCGAGTGCAAGAAACGACCCTCCATGGTGGTTGGGAAGCTGGTATCCTGTTCTGCGTAGAACTGCATCGCACGTACCGCCGCCACATAATCCTACCATCCAGAATGCAACCAATGTCAGCATGATGCCGTTGATGCTAAGACGACAGGACAAAAAAACTTACGGGGATGGCGAGGTAGCACATGCCAGCGTTGAGGTAGTAGTCCTTGACGCTGTATCGGGTGAGGTTGCTTTCGAGCGACATGCTTGCGACCTGTTCCCAGCGTTCGATCGCTTGTGGGTATCGTGCGAGGTCGGTGGCGAGCTGTGCAGCCTCGCGGTAGCATCCGCTCGCGGTGGCATTGGCGCCTTCTTGCAGATACCAGGCTGCTGCCTGTTCGTATGCCTCGAGCGCCTTCTCCGGATCGGCCGCGTCGTTCTTGTACAGCTCTGCGACCGCCTTTTCGCGATCGGCCGCCTGGCGGAATCGTCCGCGCTCGATGAGGATCTCGCGCGCACGCGTCAGCGCCACCACGGCCAGCTCGGGCCGACTCATGCGGAAGCACTTGTTGGCTTCAAAGAACGTGTTGGCAGCATAGTCCTTTTCGCCCGTCTTGATCTCGGTCTCGGCTGCGCGCATGTAGGCATTGCCGGCCTCTTCAAAGCGGTTCTGGATGCGGAACTTGTTGGCTGCAGCCTTGAACAGTTCGATGGCCTCCTCCTGCTTGCTGGTGGCGGAGGAGAACCAGCCGCCCGAGGCGGACGCCTTCTTCTCGGCGTTCTTCAGAAGCTCTTCTGGTGTTGATGTCGACATGGTGGTGATCTGTGCGTCACGATGGTGGTGCGAAGGTGAGGCGGTTTGACACGGCGTGTCCGGCACAGCTTTGGCCAGGTGGAGGCCACACAGGGGATCCAGCGGATCTATCGCACGAGAGATGCAGCGAGGATGTTTGGGTGTGAGAGCGCTATCTTCGAAACTCCGCAAACCCAAATCGCGTCACACTGGCTGCGCAGCCGAGTCCTCCTATTTTGGCAACTGCCGGCTGCAGTCCAGAATCAGTCGCCGGCAGCCGCAATCCAAACCCGCAAGTAGAGCTGGTCAACAGCTTGCTCTTCCCCACATTCATCTCGCCAACCAACTGCAGATCATACCAACCCGACTGGTGTCGCATCAGCATGCGTCTACATCGTACACTCTTGGTGGCGACAATCGTCCCGCTCGCGGCAGCCGCAGCGGCCGTGCCATGGCAGCCCATCGACCCATTCTCGCCCATTCCGCCACAGTCCACACGCGAGTCTCTGGATCTCAACGACCCCGCGATTGGCGTCTCGGACCTCCTCGTCTATAACTCGTCCTTCTCCGAGGACGCCGTCTACGATGCACTTGATCTCGACAATGGCGACGGATCCGGCGACCCCGATCAGCCCGGATGGGTCGACCCGCGAACGTACGGCGGCTCGATGCTCGATCTGGTGGGCAACGGACTGCGCGAGCCGATCAATGTGATCATCTCGGGCAAGTCGGACAAGCACGTCCTCTCCGACCTCGGCCTGAAGGACTACATCCGCACCATCGGCTTTTCGTTCGAGTGCCTCAACCTGCACATGGGCAACCTGCAGCGCGCCGATCTCGGCGACGGCAAGGGCTGGGTGCCCGAGATGTTCGAGTACCGCGAGACCGGCTTCCCTGGCGCACCGGGCCGCTGGGTCGGCGCATGCTGGGAGAGCCTGTATGGCGGAAATCACTTCCGCGTGTGGAAGCAGAACGGCACCATGGCCAACACGGGCGCATGGTTCCTCGCCGTGTCCAAGGAGAAGAATCTCAAGTACCACCACACCATCGACCGCGACGGCTACAACGTCGGGCGCGACCTGCTCGTCGCTGCCGCCCAGCGCGGCGGCAAGTGGAACAACGTCTATTACAAGGCCGACGTAGAGTGGATCGACGGTCTTCTCGACCCGGGCCGCCACGGCATCAACCACAATATCGGCCAGGACGGCCGCACCGCCGTGCTCACCGTCAAAAAGGTAGACGCCCTCTCCCACGGCTTCATCTTCTGGGGCCTCGAGGCGCTCGGCAACTGGATCGCTGAACGCATCGCCGCCCACCTCGCCCGCTTCCTGCGCCAAATCGGTGTCATCTAATCCACTTGGTACTCGACACAACTCCACCGAGCTTACCTCACATGCCTCTGTTTCGCACTCTTGATACCACTGGCCGCGCTCTCCGCCCGCCACCTGCATCGTCCCGACTGCCCCTTGCACTGTAATCATCGTTTCCGCTGTACACTATCCTTGCACGCCTCTCGACACTCGAGCGCGATGTCAATAGAGCCCATGCCTCATCGTACTCGACAGCTTTCCAAAGACCGTTGACCTGGAAACACATCAGATTGGGGTAGAAATACATTGAAAGAGAAAGCATACCGTGGCTTGCCTTCAAGCTAGCCGCAGGTAATTTTGGATAGCACGATTACTGCGCCTTTGCGCCCTTGGCGGCCTTCTTCTGGTAGCTTCGGATGTAGAAGCTGACAAAGAGGTAGATGAGGGGAATGAGGTATGCGACGTTGAGCGCAACGGCGAAGAGCTGACCCGTGGTAGCGACACAGGCGGTCTTCTGGTTGGCGCCAACACTCGCGAGGATGGCCTGCTTGATGAGCTGGAGCGCCTCGGTCGAAGTCGACGCGAGGAACTTGGAGTCCGATGCGGTACTGTTGGCTGCCGAGGTGAACGAGCTGAATGCCGACGAGACCGGGTTGAGCACGTGCCTGCCGGGGGTGGGAACTGCACCTGCCGGGTACGCGCTAGGAGCGTACGTGAGCCAGGTGTACGATGCGGCAAGGCCACATCCGACGACGAGCTGGGTGATCTGGATGGTGGTCATGCTGCGCTTGAGGCCGCCGGTGAAGGGCAGCTTGAGCGCGGTCATCGAGTAGTAGGTGTACATGAGCGTGTGCACGAGCGAGTTGAAGAGCAGGAAGATGAACACCGCGGGGGCCGAGTAGCGGTAGGCAGCCCACATGCACAGGATCGCACCGGCATGGTGGTACGACTGCAGGTTGCTCACGGGCTTGCCCTTGAGAATGAGGATGACCGAGTCGATAATCTCGTAGTACTTGGAGATGTAGAACAGCCACACGTAGATGCCGAGGCCAGCGAACGAGGAATCGGCGATGGGCACAGTGCAGTAGGCGTTCGTCAGACCCGAGAAGCCTCCGGCAAGAGCACCGCCGAGCAGGTAGCTCAGGATGCGCGTGGCCGCGTGGAAGAAGGTCCAGCCCGAGTAGACGGCGAGGAGGATGTTGTGGCCAAGCACGGTCTGCGACAGACCGTACGACTGCTTGACCAGGTCGGCGGGCTTGGGCTTGCCCGGGCCAAAGCGGTTGTTGGTGGCGTGCGTGGCGAAGAGGTAGACGACACCCGTGAGCAGCGGCACCCAGGGCGAGAGCGAGAGCTCAAACGCCCAGTCGGCAACCGGAAGGCCCTCGGGCTTGGCCGGGTATGGCTGCTGCGAGAGCCTCTGCCAGAACGAAGAGAGCGGGTTGTCGAGGGCGTACAACATCGTGAAGTTTGTAGAGGGATGGTTTCGTTGCGGGAAGCACCAGACGGGATGATGTGGGGCTATATAGTGTCGGCCGCGGAACCCTTCCGCAGCTCATGAAGTGATTTGCCGGCTGCACGCCACCAAGAAAAAAAACGGGTGCATGGGCCCGGCAGAAAAGTTGAGAAGTGTGCGGGGATAGCAGCATTAATTTTTTGGCCCTTGCCAGTCATCAAATTCAGAGACGTCGTTCAGGGCCGTCCGTTCGGCCGGCCCGACGACGATCCGACGTTGGGGAAAGCCACTTTCAGCTGGCCCGGTCTGGTGGCGAGCGTGCGCTCTTGGCCATGCCTGACTGTACAGCTGCAGGCGGCCGACGGAGCCAATCGTGAGGCTAAACTGAATCGGTGGCTAGCCGAACAAGCTCATGCTCAACAAAGAGATCTCGACTGGAACGCAGTCGTCGAGCGATGCGGTCGCGTGCGCTCAGGGCTCACATGAGTGGCAGGCAATGAGGCCTTGTGGCTACTGTATCTAGGCCTTGGCAGGGAGCGGAGGTAGTCCATTCATCTCGGAGGTTGTTCGCAGGCCAAAACCCCCGAGCTGTGCGTAAGCTGGGCAAAAGCCGTTCGCAAATGGTTCCTCGCTCCTGCCTCGTCCATCGCTCCCTGCGCTTTGGTCTCCATGGCTGCCTTGGCAAGAAGGTGGCGACTGCACCGAATTCGGCTTATACTCTGCGACCGTCGCAAGGCTGTGCTGTAATTCTGAGCCAAAAGCATGACAGGCTCAAGCCAGTCGATGCACCCCATCGCCCGCGTGGACATGTGGGTGGGGTACAGTCACACGACCCCCCTACTGACGCATGAAGAGGGTCCGCTGTAATTGGAGACTCTGCCGTCGGGGAGCGCGGGCGAGCTCAGACTTGCGGGTCAAGAATAGAGCCCAAAGTTTCATGGTGCAGCCAAGCCCAGAGGCGGAACGCGGTCGGCCGCACAAACTGACGGCCATGAACCGGCTTGCGCAGGCGAACCGAGGGAGAAAAAAAAAGAGGCACCAAATCCCCTCCGTAACCTGCGTCAAATCCTGCAGATCCTGCATGACGTGCATCCCCAACAAATTGAACGTCGCGCAGCGTGGTGGCGTTTCGCGGCTCGTTGCGCTGCCCCGATTTTCCCGCTGCGGGCCTCTCTCCACCAGCACTGATTCGTTGACTTCGTTCGGGGGGCACAGGCACAGCGCGATTCGCCACCACGCCAAGTGCGCTCAAAGCCTGGCTGGTGGCAACGCCTCGCGTAGTTGCCGTTTGGCATGCTCGTCAAGGAGCGACACACGTGGCCAATAAATCCCGTTTTGTCTGCATTGCGGCCCTAACACTCTTGAGGTGGTCGGAAACTTCGGGAGAGACCGGTCTTGCCCGCAGCTTCGGTCTCCTTCTTGCCCGGTCTTTCACGTCCCGGTACTTGGTACATCCGGCTCCAGCCTCTCTCCTCCCCCTCCCACTCCTGTGCCCCTTTCGCACTTGCCATGCTCTTGCGCCAGGTTCAAGACGCCGCTCCGACCGAATTCACCGGTACACCGGCCTCCACCGTTCCCAATCTTATCTAGCCGAACGCTAGACGCCCGTGCCTTGCACCTGTCCCGCACCTGCTTTATCTTTTCCTCCGATGCCGGACCCTGAGTCCGCCCACCTGGTCCAATGCACTGGCCACTCCATTCTCGTCCCTCTCCTCTCCCTTCGCTTTTCAGACGCTCAATGGGGACCTGCACTATTGCGAGAAAACATGTGTGTTTGTTGCAAACCAAAACCAGAACGAAACTACAAATCAACCTAGGTCGAGCATGCACGGCCAAGCTGCCCATCTAATCGCAGCAGGCGTGGCATCCGGGCCCTTCTTTTGAAACCGTCAACGCAGCCGCATCTACTGGCTGGGGTGGGTGCCCTCGAGCTTGAAGTCACGGGCGCTCTCGGGCACGCTGAGGATGCGGATCGTGTTGGTGCTGCCACTCTGTGCCCTCCAGCCCTGCAGAGTGATGACGACATCGCCCTTCTCGATGATGCCAAGGTTGAGCGCCTCGGCGAGGCCGTACTTGATGCGGTTGTCAACGTCCTCCTGCCACTTGGAGTTGTCCTCGGGGCGGGCGTGGGGGTAGAGGAAGGGGTAGCAGCCGCGGTACAGGTGCACGTCGCGGGCAGTGTGAGGGTTGCGGGTGATGGTGAGGATAGGGCAGCTGGGGCGGTACTTGCTGACCAGACGAGCGGTGTTACCGCTGGTCGACATGAGCAGGATGGCACCAGCGTGCTGCTCGAGCGAGGCGGCGACGGCGGCCATGGCGATGGTCTCGTTGGTGTCGGTGGGGATGGTGGTGAGCGTGCGCATCTCGTTGAAGAGGGGCACGTACGAGACGCTCTGCTCGGCGAGGTATGCAGTCTCGGCCATCATCTTGACGGCCTCGATGGGGTATGCGCCCTTGGCGGTCTCTCCGGAAAGCATGACGCAGTCCGCACCGTCCAGAACGGCGTTGGCGACGTCCGAAACCTCGGCACGCGTGGGGCGGTTGTTGACGATCATCGACTCGAGCATCTGGGTGGCGCAGATGACGGGCTTGCCGGCGATGTTGCACTTGGAGATCATCATCTTCTGGGCCATGAACACCTGGGGAGCGGGGATCTCGATACCAAGGTCACCACGGGCAACCATGATACCGTCCGACTCCTTGAGGATCTCGTCAAAGTTCTGCACACCCTGGTGGTTCTCGACCTTGGAGATGATCTTGATGTGCGCGCCCTTCTCGCCGAGGATCTCGCGGATGGTGCGGACATCGCTGCCGCGGCGGATGAACGAGGCGAAGATCATGTCGAGGTCCTGCTCGACGGCGAACTCGATGTCCTTCCTGTCCTTGTCCGAGATGGCGGGCAGGTCGACCTCGGTCATGGGGAGGTTGACACCCTTCTTGGAGGAGAGGACGCCGTTGTTGACGGCGCGCACCTTGACGAGCTTGTCGCTCTCGATGGCGAGCACCTGGAGCGAGAGGATACCGTCGTCGATGAAGATGGTTCGGCCGACCTCGACCTTGTTGGCGAGGTTCTTGTAGTCGATGTAGAGGTACTCGAGGCTGCACTTCTCGGCGTAGGCGTCGTCGGTGGTGACGTAGAACTCGTGGCCCATGGCGATCTTGACATCCTCGCCGTTGACCATGACACCGGTTCGCATCTCGGGGCCCTTCTGTTCTCCGAAAGCAGGATGTGAGGTAAAGGGTCAGCAACATGAACATACAAATCGTCGCGCACTGCAGTGCGCATCTGGCCAACTTACGGTGTCGAGCGCGATGGCAAGAGGACGACCAGGGGTCTGAGCAACCACGGCGCGGGCGTTGTCAACGACCGACTTGAAGTATTCGTGGGAGCCGTGGGAAGCGTTCAGGCGGACTGTGGATCGGTGAAGGTCAACGGGCGAGATTTACGTCAGTTTGTGCTGAACGGTACCGGCCATCAGAACGGTTCGGGTGTTGGTGCTGCACTTACCGATGTTCATACCGGCCTGGCGGAGGGCACCGAGCATCTGGACATTGTTGGTCTTGGGGCCGATGGTGGCGATGATGGAGCTGCGATCGTCGACATACAAAGAATGAGATGGTGCGATTGTCAGCAAAGAACGGTCGGGCGATTGATCTTTGCGGTGGCTTGGCAGGAAGAGACTTACGTCTTACGGAAGAACTTGTTGTCGACGCCGTGCTCGAGGGGGTTGAGCGAGGCGTACCACTCGAGCTGGGTCTTTGCGATAGGAGCGTAGATCATGATGAAGTGCTTGCAAAGGTGTGCGTACCTTGACCGGCGAAAGGGAGGAAGATGCGTGGAAGGGAGAGGGTGGTGGAGAGAAGGAGAGGGTGAGTCGCCAAGTGGCGGAGAGAATCGAGCGGCGAAGAGGAGGCTGCTGCAAGCAGAGTTGCGCAAATCAGCGCGACCAAGACCGACCGAGCGAGCTGGCGGCAGCGGAGGATGAAGCTTCTGCGCCTGCGTCTGCGTCTCATCTTTCTGCTGCGCTGACGAGGCTACAGATAGCCAGATCTGCTGGAAAACTCGCATTTGGCCGCCGAGTCCAACACCGCTTCCCCAGCCACACAGCTGCCTCTTCCTCTCTCGCCCACCTTTGCCGAACGCTGTCTCGTGCCGAGCAGAAAAAAAAAAAGCTCGAGCCACTCCCGCTCGCTGGCCCGAAGAAGAAGCGCTGCAGGGCGCGAAAATTTAGAGATGCAGAAAAAAAACAACTCGCCGGCCTCTTGACTGCGAGACAAAAAAAAAAAAAAA